GATTTCCAAAAGAGCCTTCGGGCTAGTTTTTGAGTAATTATCTCATATCAGCAGGAAAACATATGTTTTAAAAATATAAGAGCCAGTACATTTTTGGGAGTAGTATTGAGCACCGAATTGGGGGAGCGTTCAAAGAACCCACAGCCCCCATAGAACCATGTTAGCCACCATGGGTAGAAAATGATCATACTTTTTAGATGAATCCTTTTCAGATTAGACTAGTGGATCCATTAGGCAGTTCAGGTCTTATACCTTTGGCCGGGTATAAGATGCTCTGGCAGCGTGAGGTCGATCGCTGTATCATCACTATAGCTCTTATGTGATGGTTGTCGGTTAGAGAAACTCCCACAACAGTTATTGTATTTTTATACACAGAAATTATTGTATTTTATATACATCAGTTCATTTGTATTTCTATATATACATCTCAGGCTTATTGTATCCTTGTATACACACAGAGTTTATAGCATGTTTTAAACAGTCTTTCTTTATATCGCACTTGTTTTAAATTACCTTATATTGAAAGAAGTCAGTCAGGTTGAGTTCAGTTATTCAAGAGTCGAGTATCCTTGAGTTAAGTATCTTTGAGTTAAGTATATATCTTGAGTTGAGTATATATCTTTGAGTTGAGTATCTGTCTTTGAGTCCAGTATCTATCTTTTGAGTTGAGTAAGTTTGAGTAGTTTTGAGTATTCCTTGAGTTGAGAAAGTTTGAAAAAGAGGTAAGTTATTCAGTTTATTCCAGTGTTTCTTCTAGCCTATGTTGTTTAGATTTCCAGCTTACATACTCGTACATTCCACGTACTGAGCCATTTGGCCTGCATCTTTTTATGATGCAGACACAGGTATTCAAGATCATCAACAGGAGATTCGTTGATACATCCGGGAGTTCCAGTTAGCTATGACAAGCCTCTTTGCTTCCGGAGGATTTCATTTACCTTTCAGTTGTATCAGTTGTTAGGAGGTCGTGGGTCTTGTCCCGGCTTCCATCTTTATCAGTTAGAGGCTTCATAGATAGACAATAGAGTTTCAAAAGTCTCTTCATTTATTTTGTTAAATGTTTTGAAGACTAAAGTTTCCTTTTATGGCGAGTTGTATATATATTCTATTATCAGAGTTTTCTTTTGAGTTAAAGATTTGTAAAGTTGAGTTTATAAACTTTTTTTTCAGTTTTAAGCTCTTGTATGCTTAAGTTAGTATTCCGCTTGGAGTCAGCCAGGATGAGGGTTCGCTTGGGGACCAGCAATGGTCTTCGAGTGCCGGCCACGTCTAGGGTGTAGTCTCGGGGCGTGACAGAAAGTTCAACCATGTAGCGGTATAAGCTCCCAAACAATCTTAAACGACGTTACTGATAGCCTTCTTGGCCAAGCTTTCAAAATCAACTTATTTTGAAAAGTGTTTCTTGAAAAATTACTTTCAAAGAGTAGAAGTTTGCTTTTGCCTTTAATTATTTATTTTTTATAAAATACTTTTGTCCTACGTTGCTCGGACTCTCCAGAAAATTATAGACCACTTTTCACTGTCAATAGGATGAATGAAACACTTCACACAAAAAGTTTTTTCCAAATGAATTCAGACAATCTCTAGAACTAAAATCCGACCTATGACTATTACATGAAGCTTCCAAATAGACACACAATGGAAGGTTTTTCAGGATATAAGATACACTTATACACTACCTAGATATAACGAAATGAAAAATATACTGCAAAATAATAATTCTTACCTGTCCAAAGTGTTTTTTTTGAATTACTTTCAAAGAGTAGAAGTTTGGCTTTGCCCTTAATTATTTACTTCTTATAGAAAACTTCTGTCATACGTTGCTCGGACTCTCCAGAAAATTATAGACCACTTTTCACTGTCAGTAGGATGAATGAAACATTTCACAAAAAGTTTTTCCAAATGAATTCAGACAATCTCTAGAACTACAATCTGACCTATGACTATTATAAGAAGCCTCCAAATAGTCACACAATGGAAGATTTTTCAGTATATAAGATACACTTATACACTATCTAGACATAATAAAATGAAAAATATACCACCAAATAATAACTCTTACCTGTCAGACTCATCCAAAGTTTGAATACAACGCCAATCTAAAATGAAAAATATACCACCAAATAATAACTCTTACCTGTCAGACTCACCCAAAGTTTGAATACAACGCCAATCACCACTTTCATAATCTGCCTCTTTCCACACCTAAAATTTTCAAGAACCACTAGAGATTAGATAATATCACTGGTGAAGGATCAAATCCCACCCCCACCCCCCAAAAAGAAGAAGAAGAGGAGAAACGAGTTGACTACCAATTCTATGCCTTACATGAAATGTGGGTATGAAAAGCATGCGAGAATCCTAAGCAAATAACACATGCACACACACAAAGAATGTGAAGTTGAACCTCTCAAATATATATACCTTAATGGTGTTATCACTACTACCGGAGAATAAAAATCTTTCATCCCAATGAACTATCTTAACATCTTCTGTGTGTACTTGTAACACTGAAGTACAATCAAACTCATTTCCAGGCAAAACTTCCCATATCCAAATTGACTTATCACCTCCACATGTCGCAAGAAATTGCCCGTCCCTATTCCAGGAAACACTTCTCACTTCATTCTCATGACCCTGGACATTATCCACTTAAGAAAATAAGAAAGCAGACAGGATTTCAGTAGATTTATAACTCATTAAAGAAAATGAAAAATAAATCCTTAATATACAGGTCCATCCAAATCAATTATAAGCTAAATAAAAACAACTCCGTAGTAACAAGTTCCCTTATTCTGCTGAGTGCTGATAGATCTTTGAAGTTTATATGTAGCAATATTTACAGAGAGTTAATTTCTCTGATAGTCTCACAAAGTCATTGTACCTTTAAAGTGTAGATATGCTCATAGGCATGAACACCGACATTTTTCCAAATGGCAGTGGTGACATCAGAGCAAGCTGCTGCCAACAATTTGCTTCCCCGTGACCAGGCACACGATCTAACAGTACATGATGCCTCCAAAACAGCGTGCAAAATTTCCTTCTAAGAGTTATTACAGCACTTTTTTTATGTATAGGTTCAAATAGTCATTGTAGCTATATTTTCTTGAGCATGGAAAGAGTGCTAGAGAAGGAATAAAGAAATTACATAAAGGAAAAAAAATCTTCAACGGGGTTTACCAAATGCGTAGACAAGCTAAAAAGTGTGTATAAGTCAATTTGACTAGCTTATAAGCTGAATCATACACCCTCTAAGTTTACAAGTTTCTACTAGAAAATTGTTGAATGGAACTTGACCCTAACTCAACCCTAAAATCTAGCTCATGAGAGGAGGATTACTCAAGTCAATATAAGCAAATCACCCGTCTATTTTCCAATCAATGTGGGACTTTAACCAAATTTAACACCCTCTTCATACTCAGGTTCAACTGGAGCGTGTACTGGAAGCCCAAACAAGAATGAACCTAGCTCTAATATCATGTTAAATGGACCTTAGCCTGACTCAACCCCAAAAGTTAGCTCTTTGGACAACATTTTTTTACCACAAATGTTTATTAACAGTTTCAGCACTTCTATTTCAAACACGTAACTATTTATTTATAACATCAGATTCATCACTTTAAAATGTTTTTCAACATTTAAAACCTTATCAGTTATTTACATCAGCTAATCCAAATGATCATAAAATTGAGAAAAATGAAAAAAAAAAAAATAATAATCAAACCTTACAGACGAAAAAGCCGGAGAAGTTCTCTTCCCAGATTCGTATGGTTTTATCATCACTCCAGGATGTGATTACTGCCGGAAAACCCCATACTCCGGTATCCTCCTTCCAAGCTATCCCCAAAACCTTACCGGTATGACCTTCGAGCTTTTGAATCTCTCTCAGTTCAAAATCGTCGTAGCTGAAATTCTTCATCGCGGCGGAATTGGGGCGGCGAACTGACTGTGCTACTCAATAAATTGGGCAATTTTGATCAGATTTTGGTGATGTTTGAGTGGATTTGTACAGTGAGCTGAGAAAGGAGTACTTATTCGTTACTTAAGTGGGCCTATTTCCCAAGTTAGTTAGTTTATGTACCGACAGTTACGCCCCTATAATTTTTTCTTTATCATGATAATATATAACATATTATATTATATCTTGTAATATTAGGATAATGTGTGTGTCTACTTGTTTACATTCGCTCAAATCTGACATCGTTGATAAGCACACATTTATTTCACATAATATCTCTTAAAATAATAACGACATAGATTCAGCATAAAGAAATACATGTATTATTTTAATAGGCATAATAATACATAAGTGTGTCGTGCGCCGTCCAACTTTGGACATGCATAAATAGATACTTAAATTCATATAAAATTAAACAAGTAAACATATACAAATCAATTTCCTACATGGCAATTCGCGTGAGATTCACATAAAACGTCACATATGACATGTGTCTATTTATGCACAATTAAAGTTTGAAAATAAATACGTCAGTTGATGCCAAGCTAAACAACACATTTATATATGATTATATTATGCCTAATTAATATTGTCAAACAAACTTCCATAAAGTCGTATGTGTGATTTAATACTAGAATAAAAAAAATACTAGAACTATTTTTCTAATCCCCACTAAACTAGTATACAAAATTAAAATTAATTTTCTACCTCTAAGGTGCAAATAGATGCTACTAAAATTGATTATTATTTTTTTGTACTTTTGCCACTTGTAATTCTTCATTTCTTCCTTCTCTTCTTTGCATCTTTAGAATTTCTACTCTTTGTTGCAATTCATTTTGTATTTTATTTTTGAAGGTGAATTTGACGTAACTGCTAAAGTTGTTGACGCGTAAAGTTAGATCAAAACTCACAGGCCAAGCTTAGTGAACCGGGCTGCCCTCTTATTTGTACTGTATATAATTTTAATTAAGCTCCAAATGCCATCTGCACACCAACTGTTTGTTATAATGCCTAGATGACGAATTTCAAAATAAAATTGAGAGAACTTTCAGTATTTCACATCTGTAGCTTCTCAGAATGTTTCATAGGCGAGTTACGTCAGTCTTAAATCTTCGTGGGAATGCGATATTATCCACTGTGAAGGAGCTGGGCAATGTTGGTCCATTGTATTCAACTGTATCAGCCATGGAAGCTCTACCAAGAAAGCTGAAAAAGGCTGAAAAAAAACCATGGGTGACGAGTGTTAATGAGCTTAAGCGGAGAGCAAGATATGACAAGCAAGAGAGAAGGGTGGTACGTGAAGTTGCACTGCAGCCACCGGAAAATGGGCTATTAGTTGAAAAGCTAATCCCTGTTGCTCATCATGTGTTAGCTTCAAGAGCTCAGTTGTTAGCTTGTGTTTCAAGGATTTCGGAGGAAATTCCTATTTATTTTTGCAGGTAAGATTCATTTTGCATCCAAAAGTTGCTCGGACTCTTCAAAATTGTTGTATCGGTGTTGGATCTTTTAAATATACACTACTTTTTGGAGGATCCAACACACACCCGTTAACAATTTTGAAGAGTTGAGCAACATAGCAATCTTGCACTTAAGCAAACTTTGTTGCAACTAATCATATGTAAAAGAGTAAATGGTCAAAAACACACCTAAACTATCACTTTTTTGCTAGTTTCACACTCCAATTATAATTTTCTTACCATGTTCCCTTTCCTATTTGAACTATCACAATTTGTATATTAAAACACACCTTGAAGTTGGCTAGGCCAACTATCAGTTGTTCCCTTTTCCTATTTGAACTTTCATCATATACTCAACTAGGTGTGTTTCAACATATAGATCGTCATAGTTCAGCTAGGAAAGGGGAGTATCTAATAGTTGGGATGTGAAACTATCAGGAAAATGATAGTTCAGTGTATTTTGACCATTACTCTGTATAATGGAACTAGGTTTTAGTAGAACAGAAGCATGGAAAAAATATGGCGAATTTTTGCTGCTAAGGTTATGTGGTGGAGCATAACTTTTGTGGAGTAAAGCCAGTTTGAAGTCCCAATAAAGGAGTAGGGTTGTGGTAATTGAGGATTAGCTTAATAATAGTCGAATATGATATTCATTTTACTTATTCTTAGGCAGACTTAGCTAAGATCATAACACGATAGAAGTAATGATCCTTGTAGGTGGTATCAACTAATTCAGATTAAACTTGTTATCAAGGTAAGAAATTAGTGCAAGATTAAGAACCCAATTTTGCTATAGAAGGCAAATTATTTAGTAGGGAGTAGAACAATAGTTTGTTGAAGCTGGAAAAAAAAAAAACATGTGAAGTTGAAGTTAGAATATTTGTGTTTTTACATGAATTTAACTTGGAAAAATTGTTGAAGTATAGTGAGTAAAATCGATTAATTGTTATACTTCTATAGTTCTATAACAAGTTTTCAACTTCAAATTCTCTATTTCAAGTTGAAGTTTGAAATAATGAATCAAATTGCAAGTAAACATTGATTTGCAAATAATATATCAAGTTAAGTTGGAATAATGAAATAATTAGTGGGGACAAATGTAAGTATTGGAATGAATTAGACTTGACTAGAACACAACAGATATAGAAGATTCATATAGCTGACTCCTGCTGATTTGGAGTCGAGGCCTTGTTAATTGATGGAAGATTGACTATATAGCAACTCATTATGAAATTCAACTGTTAAAATTGTCGAGCAAGCAGGTCTATGTTGTGATCTCTGTTCTTTTGTGCAGCTTATGTACCGAAGTTCATGTTGGTCATCCACCACATAAGATCAGAACTTGCAATGTTAGCGGCAGTCAGAAGAACAAAGAGCATACATGGCAAAGAGGGGGCGTAGATCATGTATTACCTGTTGTACAATCTTTTCATCTCTATGACAGGTTAGGAAGAGCTGTTTCACATAATGAGCGACTTGAAGTTGATCGAATCCCAGCCCTTGTAGAATTATGCATTCAGGCTGGTGTGGACTTACCTGAGTACCCAACCCAAAGAAGGAAGTTCCCCATTTACCGGGTTGCTGGAAAACTCATAGATTTTGAGAAGAGGTTTCCCAAGGATGATTTGTTCGGGAAGGACATAGAAACTTTTAGGTCTAAGGAAACTATTAAGAAGCCCATCGGAGATAGAAATTATTTGAATTTACCCTATGATGACATAAAAGGTTTGTCTTTATGTTACTACAATGTTTTCACTTATAATTGTTAAGTCATTTTTCAATGTGCATTTTCCTTTTCAAATACATCAATTTCCTCTCTAGAGCTTCAAGCTATGTTGCTTGGAGTTTCCAAAATTGTTGCCGCACCTGTGTCGGGCTCTCCAAAATGCACAACTTTTAGAGTATCTGACACAACTTGTCGACATTTTTGAAAAGTCTAAGCATCATGACTTAAAAGTATGTAAAAAAGAGTTATTTCTTATGGTACGACAAACCTTCTAGTTTGATTTTCCACTACTTACTTATCACTTCTCCAGGATTCGCCATGCGAGGAATGGAAGCTTGGGAGATTATGCGTACTGGAGCTATACAGCTCATGAAAACGTATGGCGTTCAAACATGTGGATATTGTCCTGAGTTGCAAGTCGGGCCAAAGGGTCATAGGGTTAGGCAATGTCAAGCCTTCAAGCACCAGATGAGGGATGGACAGCATGCTTGGCAAGAGGCAACAATAGATGATCTTCTCTCCACTGTATATGTTTGGCATGTCCAAAACCCGCATGCTGGTGACGTTTTGGTAGATTCTATGAAGAGGTATTACGGAAAGTTACCTGCAGTCGTGGAACTGTTTAGTCAAGTTGGAGCACAGGTCGGAGATGATTACTATCACATGATGAGAGATGATGTTGTAGTTCCTGGACTAGATGAAGAAAAATTAGTTGTATAAAGCTCTGAAATGCTGCCAACATATTGGCAGAGTAGAATCAACATTAGACCGGGGACGTTGTTTCCTTGGTTTGATTTCTGCTAGTGAGGATTACCCAAGACTATATCGTTGCCAGAGCTCGTTTGTTGTTAGGGTAATCTACGCAGATTCTGGCAGTTGAAACTTCAACTTCATGTTGAGATATATCCAACTTTTCTTGCCTTTAAAATTAGGACAATGTATAGAAGGTACTATTATTAGGAAAAGTAAACAATAGTTTCACATCAACCTTTTAAGATGTTTTGAATGCATGTCATTTTGTGTCTATATAAGCATGCCATTAAGGATAAAATGTGAATTTTAATGTTGATGTCTTTTATAAAACGGACTATGAGGAAATAGTGCCACAGAACTCACTTTGTGCATAACCCAAGTGTGCCGCTTTCATTCAATAAGCACAACAAAATCCAAGTAAATAGATGCTCATATTTTTCTGGAGAAGAGTTTCACAAACCATTGCTTCTAACATTCATTATTTACAGAGATGTCACACTTTAAGGTATGTATATATATGCCTTACAGGGTGATCTTCTGCAACTAAACTCAGATGAAGAAACATCATATTTTTACCAATCAACCAGCCACGAAAAATGTCAAACGATTACAACATTGTAAATAAGGCAGAAACTTCAAAGAGCTGTTTTAAAATCCAAAATAGGTATAAAAATTAGATCTTTGAGGCAAAGCTGATGCCCTCCTGTGCCAATTGATCCAAGGTAGCAGGGGGTTGGACTTTTGCGACTTTAGCAATTGCCTTGTTCTCTTCAGGTGACCCACTCTCGAGGAATGCACCAACGATCTTTCCATCTTTGATCCAGTATTGTCCAAACTTGTGAGTTGCAGAGTTGGGATCAGCGTCCCCAAAGAGCACTGTTTCACCCACATTATCACCGTAGAATTGCCAAGACAAATCGAATGCACGGGAATAGAAGTATGGAAGGTAGTCATATTCATCGACAGACTTCCCTTGCTCACTGGCAAATATTGCCTGCACCAGCAACAATGTAACATTAGCATTTTTACTTCATAAGAAGATGTGGAGTTTGAGAATTTGTAACTACATTTGACCGAGTTGATTGACAGAGTAGAAAGACACTAGCAAACTGCAGAAAGCTGTTCTAAGAAGTCACACAGTGGAAGCAAAAGATAACCTGTGTGAGTGTAACTTAACGTTGTATTGTTACAAATTTGTACTCATACCAGGATATAAACAATCAGTAGGCATGTAGAGTTGCGATAGTTTTCAGTATTTGAACACCCTAATCTGCATGTGTAGTGTGCTTCAAATATCCAGTTTATATCACGACTCATGAGAGCAATCATAGTTGACCAGTAAAGAATTAACATATTATAAGCAGGATGACGATATAAAACTTTCATATCAACTCTGGATAGCATCAGGGAGCTGTCACATACCTTGACAGCCTGCTCAGCAGATTTGCGAGAATGATCAACATGTTCAACTCTTCTAATCTCATTGTACATTTTCAAAGGAAAAGTGGCAACATCACCTACAGCATATACATCAGGTACGCTTGTTTTGAAGAATGCATCTGTCTGCAAATAAAAGCCTTGGCGTAAGTACAGGAATAAAGTAATTTTGAATGGAACATGACACAATCCATTGTAATTCTGATACATACGAGAAACAGACAGCTTATAGCTTGACAAGAACACACAGTTTTAGTTCAACAAGGAAACTATGATGTTTCCTTAACAACAAGTTCAAGGATTTCCACTATTTGATACAATTTCTCTTTCTCATGTGCGATTAGTTTATTTCTTTGTATTGACTAAAGTAGCACAAGAATTGCTGGAATCCATTGGCTGTTCCTTCAACAAATCATCCCAGTTGCTCTCATCTATTTTTGAAGTTTATACTGAACTATTTAATTTATTTTGGTACATTATACTGGAAATTCAAAGGTTTAACCATGACAATGACAAAATTATCAAAAAGCACACAAGCCAGAACATATTAGAAAGATGAGCACTGAACAGTGAGCACACACCTTAATTCCACCCTTCTCCTCTTCAACTTGCCCTTTGAATAGAGTCGTGAGTGGTTTTGCTCCAACTCCTACGACTACTATGTCAGCTTCCAAAACTCTGCCATCTTTAAGTTTGACTTCCTTCACCTGCAAATTGGAAACAAGAATGTAGTGAGGTAATGCTCTAAAGTTCAACCAGATTTCTCAAAATGGTGCAGTCTTGAGAAAAACCTCTCCATTTGGATGGGTATCAAACCCAACAGCCACTGTACCCTTGATAATATTGACTCCCTTGTTTTGATAATAACCTTCATAGAATGCAGCTATCCCCTCTGTGAAAAGCCGAGGCACTGGAAAAGCATATGGATTACAGTAAGATAACAATACAATTAAGCAGGACAATATATTCTCCATAACTGACTACCATGAAACAGTTTTAACGTTTCATGCTATGCATGCAGTGTGCAAACTATAAGCAATTTACTTACTGCACCATGGTTCTGGGTAAACCATATTGACTTCAATGTTGTTCAGTCTCAGTACAGCACTAAGCTCGAGACCGATGTACCCTCCCCCAACAATAACAGCTTTACCATGTTTCTTAGCTTTTAATGCTTCCACAAGTTGATCAGCATCATCAATTTCTCTCAAGTAAAAGATGTTCTTGGAATCAGCACCTTGTACACCAAAATCTGACAACTTCAAAACCTGAACAGACACAAACAATAAATTAATCTAATGACCAAAGAAAAATTTAAAATTAAACAACACAACCACATTTCCAAGAGACTCACGGTGGATCCTGTTGCAATAACAAGTGTTTGATATTTAAAAGATTCCCCAGCTGCACTAACAAGAGTCTTTGAAGCAAGATCTGCTTTCACTATTTCAGTACTCAGGATCAACGAGATGCCTGCAAGATGAGCCATGTGATTCATAAAAGATGTGTCTTCAACCATATATACCACCATATGTAAAGTTAACAGAAGTCATGCATGGCCATATGTCTGCAAATAATTGCTTAAACACAAAGACTATTACCTTTCTCTGCATACCACTCAGGAAGCTGTCTCTCTCCTCCACTTCCAACACACACATGAAACCCTGGGAGTCTAGCAGCTCCTGGTAGATAAACGGATATGTGTTAGGGAAAAGATTTTATGATACCAGGTCAATTTCAAATGTTTAAAAAGTACAGCAGCTTTTTGACTTAGCAATTTGTGCCAAAACCACATGAGATGACATTCTGTATAATAAATCATGCTCAAATTGTGTTTCTTTTTTTAAATTTTTTTTTTCTTTGCTAGAGGAGAAGCAATGACCATTCTACAAGAAAAGTTGAGATACATTTTCAAATGTGTGTGCAAGGACTTTAACTACAAAGAAAGATGATATGCATTTTCTATAATACGACTTGTATTCAAGTCCACATCCACACTACCACTTACGGAAGTCAAAATTAACTATCCAAGGAAAAAAGAAGACTTGCCTTCAGGAAAAAGGTATGCCTTGCTAAGTGCAGGACGTTCATAAGGAGCCACCTGAGGTAGAAAAAAACATTTTTAGCAATCAGATCAAATCTAACATTATTTTCCTGAAAGAAGGAAAGATTGTTAGATGTAAAATTTAGGCAGGCTGGGCAGGAAAGAATGGACATAAGAGTAGATAAGTTGCAAAAAAAAAAAAAATCAACCAAAGAGAGAGAAAGATAGGCATAGCCTAACACACTAGGGACAACAGAGGTGTGATCAGAACTCGTTTTGCGAAGAAGATTAGTACAAATTTACAAGCAAATGGTAGAGTACCAAGACACTTTTCCTATCCAAATAGACAAGAATATATCAAATGGAATTTAACAATCTTGTATATTAGCTAAGGAATCATCAATGAATACTTTCTGGGAATTTACAAGTATAAGCTGATGAAAAATTAGCTTATAACATCAACAACAGAACTTAGAGATTCTTATATAAATCCAGAGACCAATGATACGATATTTACAGAAAACAAAACAAATGCTCCCTTCTCCAAAATGAAGTCCACACAAGCAGCAATGCAACTATGATTTAAAATTAAATTAGTGAAGGCAAGAAAGCAGTACAAAATACTTACTGCCTCTTTGGAAATAATAGCCAGTTCCCCAGGATTAACTCCCTGTTTTGCAAATTCTCTAGCAGCATACCCCTGCAAATGCAACAAACTTGTTAAATTCATTTACGACCATGAATTCAAAAAATTTGAATGCATAAACAACAAGTTTGTTCCTACAAGATTTCAGAAACAAAACTATAATCCTTTATTTCAGCTAGTTCCTAATAAACTTTTTTCCACATCCTAGGGGAAAAGGTAACTGTAGCCCTCTTTGTCAATACCAGGAAAAAAAGAAACGTACAGTTACAGTAAATGCAATAAGGAATCTTCTATACAAAACAGAGAAATAATTTGGGGGAGAAGTAGCAATACATATTATCTCTAATAGAATCCTAATCATTAGTTATCCCAAATAAGAGGAATGACAAATTAGGAAACTTATATGCCAATTACAATATTCTAATGAAAGATTTAGAGTTCAGTACCCAACCATTCGAAGATATCTACAATTTCTAAGCCAAAGGACAAAATAGAGGAAACTGGGATACTTTAACTCATCAAATCACATTTAATTTTGTGTCAACTGGTTCTAACCATCCAAAGTAAATAGAAATAAGTATGCCATGATCTCTTGCTCCCAATATCTCAACAAGACAACTAGTAGGTTCTACATTTTCAAATCACTTCGTACTCAAACCCTCCAAACTCCATTTCAAAGTCACTCATTCCAACAATAAAGCCAAAACAATGAAGATATAAGATTACCTACAACAACACTCTAGCTATCACTCTCCAAAATCTAAAAATTGACATGAAAAATAAAGTAACACAAACACACACACAAGGATGTATACAAGCATGAGTATCCGTCTCTATATTTATTATCACTTCGTATTAAAAGCATCTATGATCTAACTCCATTCCTAAGCAAATCAACCATTCCACAGCAGATTGAAACACTGAATGGAGATAATTCTCGCTTTCAAACTTCATAATCTAACAGTTGACTATCAAAATATTAAGTAAAACTAAAAATACATGAATTTATGTTTGTGCAGAACCGTGCACCACACGATTTCTCAGTTATCAGAAAACAATAAAACTACTCCTATATCTTATAGTTATCAGTGTATTTGTGTACAGATGCAGAA